TAAGTCAAGATTAATGAATTAACTCCATGCAACTTTCCATCACTCCCTCTGAAAGAGCTTTTCACTCTGTTGTTTTCAATCTATCTTTCTTAATAATATCTAAAGTGAAACCCCATCAATCCGAGTATCTTCCTCAAATGCCAAGTAGAAACTCATGCTTTGATATCACTAAAAAGAAAAGTGTATTACACCTATAGCAAGTAAGTGCAAAATTCAGTTTTCCAATTAAAAAAAAAATAAATCTCCAATTAGAGGCACAAACACTAAAATAGAACAAGAACTGAGTGTTAGATTTGTCATAGTCATAATGAAGCTTCTAAACTGTTAAATCAGACTCCCAGTGCTAATTATAAAAGAAACCTCTAAAACTGAAAGTTAAAACATTTAAAATTAATCTTCAACAAATGTACAGTTCTGGCCATGGATCAGACCATGAAAAGGATGTCTCAAGAATCACAAGTAAGTTATTTAATACAGCATGAAATTCACAGAAAGAATGTTTTTATAGCTTGTGTTGGTTTTTTTTCACTTTTTGCTTAACTATACTGTATTCTAACTTCCGTTGTAACACAGACGGAATTCACTGTTTGAAATCAACTGTTTCTGGTGGCCAACCATACAAGTCAGCTTCATTATCAAAAAGGCTTCAGAATGCTATCAGAATTTTTCAAAATTTAGGCAGTTAAATACTTATTGAAAAACCCAATACAAGGCAGACAAACTAAACTATAAAAATCACTTCAGAATCCCACAGCAGTATTTCCATATAGCTGCCTTAAAATGTCCACAGTGCTCATTACAAATAACATAGACTAAGAAGCTACAAAAGTATTGAAATACTGCATTTAACTGGAATCAGTATTTCAAATGCATATTAAAAAAATACCAGTGAATACTGGGAAAAGAGTCCTAAACTACTTAATCTACTTTGCTATCACAGGTAGGATTAAGTAACCTGATCACAATACAACAATTCCCACCTGGAGGAAAAGATACCTATTAAAAAACAGGTCCCAAAAGACTTCAATGGTTTTTGAAGTGTCATGATGACTACAGACTGAAACCAGGATGTATATTTGAGAGAAAAATCACTGGTACCATCTAATAAAGACACAGCAAAATTTATACTAGTTGAATGTTTAAAATCAAGACTGTATACGGTCATGAAATATCTGCTCTTAGCTAAAAAAAAATAAGATACAAAGTTGTTAGTGGCATTATTCACTGAGACTGTTCCATTAAGCTTGCAATCTGATAATCAAACTGTATCTTAGTTATTAACTGCTTATGAAAGATGGCAATCAACCTATGGCTACATTAATAATATTTTTTATATATATTAATTGAACCTGATGCTCATAAGGGGAAAAAAGAAGACACCCTTAAGCAGCAAGTCACACTGATACAATTAGAGAAACAATTCACGTGAATATCTGCACAGCTCTGAAGTGATGGTAAAACTGAATGTACTTGTTACCAGATCATTTCATTTAGTCTTGTTAGCTCATATAGTCTTACTTTAAAACTATTCAGAAAACATTAACCCATTTTCCTCAGCTTGTACAGAAAAAAAAAAGTTTTAAAGTAACCATTTAATCTTAAATTATTTCTTCAAATGAACTTAAATATGGTAGCTGGGATACTTTTAAGGGCAGGAAGTGGTGACAAGTCTGGTGACACTTCACAAAACACATTTGTGTATAGATTATTTAAAAAAAAAAAAAAAAAAGAAATAATTTCAGAGAAAGATTTATCAAAACCTAAACATTTAGTGAAACTGCACTCTGTTTTGGTGTTAGAGAACAGAAGGAACTTGGTCATGAAATATCTGCTCTTAGCTAAAAAAAAATAAGATACAAAGTTGTTAGTGGCATTATTCACTGAGACTGTTCCATTAAGCTTGCAATCTGATAATCAAACTGTATCTTAGTTATTAACTGCTTATGAAAGATGGCAATCAACCTATGGCTACATTAATAATATTTTTTATATATATTAATTGAACCTGATGCTCATAAGGGGAAAAAAGAAGACACCCTTAAGCAGCAAGTCACACTGATACAATTAGAGAAACAATTCACGTGAATATCTGCACAGCTCTGAAGTGATGGTAAAACTGAATGTACTTGTTACCAGATCATTTCATTTAGTCTTGTTAGCTCATATAGTCTTACTTTAAAACTATTCAGAAAACATTAACCCATTTTCCTCAGCTTGTACAGAAAAAAAAAAAGTTTTAAAGTAACCATTTGATATGTATCAATTTAGCAAACGGCAGTAAAATATATCTTAATTTTAACAGCTTTAATTAACATTTTAAAGTCTATGGGTTATATTTACCTGAATAAATTACTCCTGCATTATACTGCAATATTTTAAACAGATTGTGCAACAGTTACATACTACTCTTCCTGTCTTTGTATTTAATTCCTAAAGTAGTTTTAAATTATTTTTAAGCATTCAAGAACTACATCATGAGCAAATGTAGGAGCTAAATCAAAAAACTGATTAAGTGACATCACAAATTAGCCTGCTTAGAAATAGATTAAGAAAAAAATCCTAGATGAAAAAGTAAAATTTCTATTCAGATTTCACTCATGGTACCAAAAACTTGCCTTATTTGCCAAATATATTTCTTTCATAGCATTTGCCTCTATATTACTTATATTAATTAATATTGTTATGATCAATGGATATTATGAATGGTATTTTTATTGTAATTTATGTCCTACCTTAGTATGATACCAAAAAATATTTCTTTCATATTCTCTGAAGAAAATCTCACCCCAATTACC